GGCTTCCTCTACTCAGTCCTGCTGCTTCCACTCTCCAGGGAGGGCCCCAGAGGTCCTTGGCCACGAGGGGCCGCGGTGGGGTCCTTAGGCCTCCCCCTGGGCTGCCTCCATCGCCCAACCCGGGTCCCCCAAGTCGACCAGCCTTGCCCTTGACTGTGTCCCCTGCCCCTGCCCCTGCCCCTGTCCCCCCCGGGCTGCCCCCTGCTGCAGGCAGTGTTGGAGGAGCGCCCGGCCACCCTGGGGTCTCGCGGGGGGCTCACCTTGGACCTGTGTCTGGTAGACGACGAAGTAGCCGGGGCTGCCGCAGCTCTCCAGCTCCTCGGCGCTGCACTTCTGCGCGCACAGGCGCTCGTCCTCCCGCTCGTGCAGCGGGAAGCGCGTGGTGGGGAAGCCGCAGTGGCACGCGGTGCCGGCCAGCGCCGCCAGCGGGTACTCCTGGGGACAGCCGGGGAGAGCAAGCTCCAGGGTCGCCCCGCCACCTCCCCCTGCCTGGAGTCCTCGGATTGTGACTGGGTTCCTTTCATCAACTCAATTTTTGAAACTTAAATTCTAAAGGGAGCTGTCCCTCCTGCAGGGAGCCCTGGGAGAGGTCCCCTGTGTCCAAGCTGGAAACACAAACAGCAAATCCTGCAAAACGACGAGGCCAGCCGGCCTCCGCGCCCCTCGTCCCATCCGCAGGTCCAACCAACTGGGCATGGAAAATATGTGGGGAGAATCTGCACCTGTGTTGATAAGGGGCACACGTGTTCTTTTTTCTTTGTTGTTATTCCCTGAACGATGGAGTTAAAAATTAAGTACCTAGCCTTGGCCTTGTGTCAGGATGGTGGATCCTGCAGAAATGAGGGGGTGTTTTTGGTGCTAAGGATTGAACCCAGGGGAGCTTAACACTGAGCCACATCCCCAGCCCTTTTTTATTTTCTGTCTTGAGACAGGGTCCTGCTTTGATCCTCATTAAGTTGCTGAGGCTGGCCTCCAACTTGCAATCCTCCTGCCTCAGCCTCCCTAGCTGCTAGGATTACAGGTGTGCACACTGWGCCTGGCTGGGAATGAGGTAAAGCTTRTGGGGAGACAGGCGATATTCTGCAGATATTCCACCTTTTCACCTAAGGAACTCCAGCCTCGAGGACATGGGTTTCTGCGGGGCCTCTTGGAGCCCATGCCCTGGGGATACTGAGGAAGGACTGTAATTAAATGCCACTCAGGCGCTGTCGCCTGCCAAGACTCCAACCTGGGGTCAGCTGCATTTTTTCTGCAGAAGAGGGATTAGTTGAGGGACATATTAAAGACCCGTCAGCATGGAGATGAAGCTTTCTCCTGGAGGACTTGAAAGAACCCAGAAAGAAATGTCTCTGTCTGTCACGCTGCATGCCACAGTCCGTGCCCCTGGGTCTGACGGTGACTCGCAGAGCCTGCTCTGAGGACGGCTGTCGGAGTTGGTGCTCCTAAGCCAGAAAGGAGACTGACACTCGCGTGCTCAGAGCCTGCGTGGGCCGCGCCACCTCTGCTTACTGCAGCGGGTAGGTGGCAGCAGGATGGACCTGGGACTGTCCTTGTCCGATTTGCTTCTGGACCAGAACCACAGCCCCGAGTTGTGCCGGGTCGTGGCTGATCCAGGAATAACCCGGTTTCAAACCCCAAGTCACCCCCAGCAAACGTTGTCACCAGGTGTGGCTTCTAACAGATGTCACATGGGGACTGTGGTCCCTGGCTGGAGAGCRGAGACAGAGATGGTGACATGCAGGMGGGTCCCCTTGGTCACCCTGAACCTCAGACCCTCCACACTTGGCACAGGCAGCTCCACCTCCCGCCCGCCTCACCCCTGGGGTGTTGTCCTCTGGCCCCTGAAGAGGACAGGGAGAAGGCCAGGGGGAGGGGACTTCCTGTCCACCCCCCACCCGCCCGCATGGCCTTCCAGTCCTGGGGGACCTCTGCCCGGTCTCCACCCCCCGTAGGCTCCCCCAGGGCTCAGGGACGAGCCGGGTCCACCTGGAGGGGAGGCCAGGGGGAGGGGTCCTGCCTGGGGAGGGAGCAGGAGGCAGTGACGGAGCCTCTTCCTGGCTGCCCGTGCCCAGCGGCCACCAGTGTCCCGCTCCCTTTGAGTGGCTCTGGAGGCCCCTCGGCAGCTGCCAGGGCAGCTTGGAAGTCAAGCCTGCAGGTCTGAGTGGCCCCGGGGTGCACCCCGTGCCCCCGGTCACTCGCACCAGGAGCTTGGGGGGCCTTGGCCTGCTCCGGGCCTCAGTTTTCTCATCTGTGAAATGGGGATGAGAGCTTCCGACCCGTAGGCCAGAGGGGGGCAGTGAACTGCGAGGCYCGAGAGGGCCGTGAGGAGGACACTCGGAGCCTTGTCCTCTGGGCCCTTGGGAGCAATGCTGCTGGACCAGGAGCCCAGGGAGAGCAAGGCCAGGCAGGATGACGGGGGGGGGGGCGGAGGCCAGGAGCTGGGTGACCTCTGAGCCCTGGGGGGGCTGCACCCCGAACTCTGCTTCATGAGCTCATCTGGGGGAGGGCTGGGGCTCGTCGGCCACCTCCAGTGCTGGTCACGTGTCCCTCTCTGTGCTGGGAAGTGGGGGACTGGGATGTGCGAGGTGCAGCTTCCTCCCTGATCAGGGCAGGAGGGGGACCCAGCATCGAGGAGCTTAGGCTGAGAAGGGACCTGTGGCCGAGGCTGTCCAGGGCCCCGAGTTCTGCCTCTGCGGCCCACCTGCAGCCACGGACTCACCGTCCCCCGTGGGGTTGTCCTTGTCCTCATTTGGCAACCCCTGATTCATGCTTCTAAGCCCCGTGCGAATGTCACCTCACTGCTGAGCACTCCCTCAGAGGGAGGGTCCCACCTGTGTGTCTCTGCCCCTTTGGGTCCCCAGGAAGTGACCACCGCCCTCTCCTCCGTCACTGACCACAGCCCACCACCTCGTCCATCCCAGCYGGGCCCCTGCCTCTGGCTCCTGCAGCTCTTCTGCCCTGCGGTCTCCCACGCTGAGGGCGGTGGGCGGGACCCTGTGCTCACCTTCTCTGTGCAGAGATCCACGCACTTGTCCACAGACATGTTGGGCATGGCGGCCGTCACGGGCAAGGCCAGGGACAGGTTCTCAGGCCGGTGGAAGCAGCCTCGGAATACTGCACTCCCATCTGAAGACCAGGAGGGGAGAGCACAGTCAGACCTAGACGGAGTCAGACCTAGATGGGAGAACCACCTTCTAGAAGAAACTCTTGGAAGTTGAAGCCCAGAGAGGGCAAGAGTCTTGCCTAAGATCACACAGCAAGTCAAAACAGAGACAGAAAGAGCAATGGCAGCTTTTGCTCTTAAACAGGACTGTTCACAGTCAAYGCACCGTGTAATGGAAAGGACTTCTTCTGGGTGCTGGCATCTTTGCTAACAATCCGGGTCCCTGAGGTGGATTTCCTCCTGAGTCACTTTACCTTCTTCCCTTCAGCAGCACATTGCTGTATGTCATTTCCTCCTTCACGGTGGCCAAGCCCCTTTTGGGGAAGTGACAATCCATGGAGGACTTTCCTGATCCCATCAGGAGATGGTGGAGCATTCGAGGCTTAGAGGAAGCCAGAGTCCTGTCCTTCCTCCTGATTGCCAGGGGCCCCTGTCCTTATCCTCCTCCTGGCCTTCAGGGACCTTGGGAATCCCCTACTGAGGACTGAGCACCTTCAGGCTGCAAGGGGTGCTGTGTCGGGGGACGCCCTGTGTGGCCATGTGACCTGGCAACATGCCAGCTGCACAGTAGCCAATGTGGAGGCCACTGCTATCTCAGGAGAAGTCACCTCCAGCAAACATTCAGAGACGATGTCCTCGGCTTATCCCCTGGACGTGTCACTGTACTAAGGGGCTCTGGGTGGGCACCCATGGCACTTGGGAACCATGAGGGCAACCCTACAGCCGTGCACAGAGCCTTACCAGTAAGGATGGTCATTCTGTTGAACTAACACGTGAAAGACCGGAAACAACAGAGCTGTCCAACAATGAGGGATTAGACAAGTAAAATACGTAGCCACACCAGCGGTGGGATTCTATGCCGCCATCGAAAGTAATGGTGCTAAAGCTTATTTTAACCAGGTAAAGATGTGTTTGAGATTCAACATTGAATAAAAACTAAGAATATAAAGTTTCACCTATCACGAAATGTCAATTTTGTAAGGAAAAAAAAAACCATCAATAGAAATCCCCAGAGGGACATATAATAACCATGATGTTTCTGGAAAGTGTGATGGGTAAATTTTCTGGGTTGATTTGGCGGGCCCCAGGTGCCCAGCTGTTTGGTCCCACCGTCTAGATGTTGCTATGAAGGTACTGTGTAGATGTGATCAACACCTACAATTATTTGACTATAAGTAAAGGAAATTGCTCTTGACGATATGGGTGGGCATTGTCTAATCAGGCGAAGGCCTGAAGTCTTATAGCTGAGGTTTCCTGGACAGGAAGAAATTCGACGTCAAGACGGAACAAAGCACTCACTCCTGCCTGTTTCCAGGCGTCTGTCCTGGGCCACCAACTTCAGGCTTGCCAACACCCACRATTATGTGAACCAACTCCTTAAAAACAGATCTCCTAACAGGCACATACGTCCACACAGCCAGTCGGTTCTACATCAGAGAACTCAGATCCCTTAGGGTCAGAGGGAAATTTTCTTTCTATCTTTGGGCTTTGACTCTAACTCTTCCTACGAGGACTAAAGACAGATAAAAAATAAGAAGTGGCCCCTGTCAAATTTGCATCATGCACTTTTAAAATTAGCCTCGGTTATTTCTCAGATCTTGAGTTGAATGACCTTCCCAGAAGCAGACATCACATAAAACAAARGACACTGTGACATCGTGTGCATCTAAACCAGAGCACAAGAACAGGTGCCCAGTATCAAGTCCCTACCAGGGGTGGTTCGCTATGATGAGCACTTTTTTTTTTTTTTTAATACCAACGGGTCACTTAACCAATAAGCCACATCCCCAGCCAGACCCCCACTTTTACTTTTTATTTAGAGACAGGGTCTCACTAAGTTGCTTAGGGTCTCACTAAGTTGCTGAGGCTGGCCTCAGACATGCGATCCTCCTGCCTCAGCCTCCAGAGCCCTGGGATCACAGGYGTGCACCACCGCGCCTGGCCGCTGAGCACTTTTGAACCATCAGCTGTTGCCACTCTCTTGAAAACTGGGCAAAGTTCATGGAAATTCATTTCACAGATGACAGAAACAGGGCTTGGAAGAAACTGAGGAGCCACTGTTTGCAAAACCTTCCTGAGGCTCATCTCAGAAACAACTGTCAGCCCTTGGAAAGAGCAAAGCCAACTGCAAAAATCCAGAAGCCTCCGTCTCTGTGGGATCGGGTGTATCTCAGTATAGAACTTGACACTTTTGAGCACGCACACACATATATTTATATTTATGTGCAGAAAATAGGATACGCCATGCCTCCCTGAGCAGAAGGACGGGGGTGTGTACCAACGATGCTTTCAAATTTTAGCCACCAAAGACACCGAGCGATTATTTTTACCACCCGACACCTGGCAGCCAGAGGTCCTTTACCGCGGTGCCAAACCACACTAGGGACAGCTGATTTTGGTTCCATGGCTAATTTCTGGAGTGGGCTGCAGGCAGCGCATGCACTTCTAGYGGATGCTCCCTAACTCTGTCCCCAGCCAGGTGAGGGAGCGGCCAGCGGTGGCAGTGATGGCCAAGATGCTCCCGACCCCCGGGTGCTCCCTCCAGGTCTCAGTTCCCCCCACACAATTGGCAACGAGGGGTCCGGCCATTCAAGGACTGTCACACGGGCTGTCCAGGAAAGCCTGGAGATGCCTCTGACTGCCTCAGTGTCCCCGGGCCACACTGGCAGTTGGAAGGCTGGATTGTCCTGTGGTCCCCACCTAAGGATCCTGACTCCAATGCCCCGGGGCTGCCCAGGGGGAGCCCCGTTTCTGATGCTCATAGAATATGCCACTCGGGGCACTGAGGAAGGACGTCCCCAGCGGTGTGATGACCCTCACCGCCCCAGGAAGCTCAGTGGGAGGGAGRCCAGCTGGGGACAGAGGGCGGTGAGATGCTGCCTTTGCAGCCTGCAGTGCTCAGGGGTCTCTGAAGCCAGGCTCCTCGGGAACCCCCTATCTTGTCCCCAGCCGGTGAGGAAGGGGTCTTGCCCCCAACTCATCCTCCAAGGCGGGTCCTTCCCTGTGTCCCCTCCCACAGCTCCCCAAGGGGCCCTCRGCCCTCGGATCAGGACAGCGCAGCCTGGGCAGGGTGACGGGCGTGTGGGCACGTGGGCGGCTGGGTCCATCTGCGCAGGCCGTGGGAAGCTGGGGGCAGGATGGCCGCCCGATGGCTCCGAGGGGGCAATCGGGAGTCCGGACGTGAGGCTGCTGGTGCGTCTGGCTGTGCACAGAGTCTGAGTGCCAGCGTGTGTCCCCGTGTGAGTGTGGCAGCGGGACACGGAGCCTCCCACTGGGCACGTGGGTGCTGGACACTGGGGCCCCGTGATCTCCTGGTCATCTGGGGCTGTGGGTGGCCGTGCCCACCGGCCTGGCGGGTCTCCTGGCAAGGGGTGTCCAACGGTGCTGCCTGCTCTTGGCGGACACTGTGCGGACACTGGGTGGTTGTCATCACTCCGCCGTGAGGCCAGTCTCACCACGGGGGTTGTGCACGTGGACACAGGACCCCTCCTCTCCGGGTTGCCTGGCAACAGTTAGCTGACCAGGGCTGCCGGCCTCCTGGCACAGGGTGAGGCTGAGCTTCAGCTGACCTCCCGCATCCCGCCAGTTCAGTGCCACCAGGGCTTGGCATTTCCCAACAATCCCCCGGGCAGCTGGCGCCTGGTTGGGACAAGATGTCTACTTCCTCAGCAGGGACAAGGCACCCGACAGACAGGAACGGCAGGGGYGGGGACCAGCCCAGCAGGGCCTCTCCCCGGGAAGCCAAGAGCTGGGGGACAATTATGCCTGATTCAGCCTGCAGCCAGGGACAACACTGGTATCTGGGTAGCATGCATCTCGGGTGGTCTTTGGGGTCCCCTTGCTGATCTGGGTCCTCTTTACCGTCACTGGGAGTCGCTCTGGCAGACACGACCTTGGGTGACTGAAGGCACCAGGGCATGGGCTGGGTCCCCTGCTCTTCATCCGGGGTCCCATGGCCAAGTGCTCTGTCCTCCCCACTTCCCTTTCCTGGGCTTCATCTGACAGCATCACGTCAGCTCGCATCTCCGATGGCCTCGAGTGGCCCAGCCCCAACGCAGGGCCCTGGAAGGTCTTCCAGCTGGTGCCACACCAGAAGGCCACGAACCCTTCATCGTCACCTGGAGAACAAGAAGCTGTCCTCCACGAAGCTCCTACTGGCAACTGCACGCCCCTCGCCTTTGATCGGGGGCAAGTTCCCTGCTTCCAGAGCCTCGGRGTTCTCACCTGTAGAATGGGGGCCTGGGAGTGCTCCTGGCTTAGTAGAGAAGGGACAGGCTGACTTTGCTGCCCAGTTCTGCAGAGATCGGTCACCTCTGACCTTTGAGCAGCTGCTTAGGAGCCCCATGTACCCAGCCCCTTGAGGAGGGCCCCTGAAGGTCCTGAGTTCCAAAGCAGGAGAGGTTTCCAGAGGCCTTAAAGGGCTAGAAACCCTCAGAAGTGACTGCTGTGTGTCTCTTTGATCAAGGAGTGTGCTGGGGCGGGGGACAGTTAGGGAAGTGAATCCAGGATGGGGAATCTTCCCGCCGTCTGCTTGGGAGGTGGGGGCAGAAACCAGGGAATCCCGGGGCGGCTCTTTGTCTCTGCGGGTGGCTCTCCACAGCATCCAGATGATCTGGGCGTGGAGAACAGGATCSGCAGCCCCGGCATTTGATCTCCCACTTCCCTCCATCTGGAATATGGGCCACCTGGCTGTCCCCTCCAGGGGTGAGACGCTCTCTTCCCTTTGAGAGAGAAGTGGCCAGGGCATCCCTCGGCCTTTCGGACATTCTCCTGTGGCCTGAAGACATTTGGACCTTGCAGCAGGGAGCAGATGCCTTCTTCTCTGCAGAGAGCTCTGGATCCAGCAGGACGGGCATCTGCTCAGGTCATGCACACGCCCAGCTGTGTGCCTTGGGCAGGTGTCTTCACCTCAAGGAGCCTCAGTTTTCCTCATCTGTGAATGGGGCTCATCATGCGGGTGGCC